ATATTATATGCAGCTTCCATCACGGGTTGTTTTTTCATGAATTATTCATAGAATAAATGACATTTTTTAATAATAATGTATACCTGCAGGCTGCAGTTTTATAAAAATTATCATGGGTCGTAAATATAAATTGAAGTTTGRGACATATATATTATATTATATATTTACATATATACATATTGTATAAAAAGGTCTTCAGCGTATACCATTATTACGGCGTGTATAGAGGAGACCCTAACCCAGTTTGTATGAGGAGACGAATAATTACGATATTCAAAATGTTACATTTTTTTCAAATATTCTTCCTGTTTATACATCGTATACCACCGGGCCATGGTGAGTAATTGAAAGGTTTTGCGTGATTGTAATACCATTATAATTATATATGTATACTAAAATATAGAACATATATTATATGTTTCACGTCGGTAGGACGTTATAATATTACTATGCGTGTTTGTGAAAAACCTATGTACTTACGATCAACTATAAACGTCTGCGTGGTACGAAAGAAAAATAAATTTAAAGTCGAACAACTCGGATGCTATAATATAAAATAGGGCATTTCAAGGTAGAAATCTAACGTGAACAAGTAAATCGGACGACTACAACTTATACGATTTTAATTATGGGTGATTAGCCCGATGACAGGACGGAAGAGAATAATAKCGCACAATTTATATACATTCACTACCACCGTCTTCGTGATTTGCGATGTATGAACACTGGGATCTGGGAACATCCCGGTCTGATAATCCATGAGATTTATTCATTTATTTTCTTTACGGTATGGACGAAACGTAAGCTGCAGCTGTCGTTCGTGTTCGCAATACTGACAAAACGGCCTCCTCAACCAGTATAATTGTATTTTTGTGTTATTTACTTATTAGTTCTCAACTTAATGTTATTTTGTCTATTTGAGTGTCGAAAAAGTTTATGTAAATAAATTATATTTTTTACGGTTGCGCTCAGTGTTTCAAAACGGACTTTTCGACGATATTATTGCCACCGACACTTTCAGACTTCAGTCTTCGATGAAGAGCAAAAAAATAGACGAAAAAGGTAAAAAAAACAAACAAGACAAAAAAAATTAAAAAACATAAAAGCCTTGTAAGGCCAAAACTGGTTCAAACATTATCAAAGTTAAAAAAAAATCAAAACAAATTAACTTATTCAACTGTATAACTAATAGTTAAGTAAATTACTTTAATAGAATTCATTATCCAAATGTCTACTATCATTATTTCGAAGTTTTAATTTAATTTTTTTTATACAGTGTCCCACAGAGAACTGACATTTTGACAAATGAAATAACTTTTGTTCTAATCAATATTTAAAAAAAATGTCTTTTAAATCTAATTCGTTGACACTTGCGCTACATTTTTAGAATACATTTTTTATTTTTTAA